GTTAGAAGATATCGAGCAATGAACGAAATAGAGGACTGAGTAAGTGAAAACCAGAACAACAACAACCAGCTCACAGAGATGAAAGGATGGGTGAATACCAGGTTACATCTACAAAACGCAAATTTACAAATCAAGCACAATTAAGCAAAGTGTTTTTTTGTTACCTCCTCTTTAGACTCACTGAGTTATACATTAGTCAATATGGCGATACAATAAACAGTATATTAGAAGATATTGGTGAAGATTATAACTGAATTATTCAATGTTATAAATCCTCAAAAATAGTGATGTTCATGTCTATTGCCTTGAATGCTGAAATCATGTGTCCATTGTTGTATTTGAAGTTTAAACACTAAAGAGTAAGTTAAGTAAGCAGTGGAGATCTTTGGTCCATAAAATGCGCGTAATCGATAAACGTGATGATACAGATCAAAATATATCGTGATTATTGTGGCAAGAATAATAATAACAATCATTAGAATGATAAGTGTTAAATAAGCGCTCATCGGAGGTAGACTGGGATAACGCTAAAATTTGATTATGTTACACGACGAATTACCACGTTCTCTGACGTTGAATGACACTTTGACACTATCAAGATATGTTCTGCGTCTCATACGATGATAAATAACGAAATACAACAGATAATTCTGCAAAATACAGATTTACTCGCGTCATAAACGTTTTAGGATAGCCGAACAGTTCGACATTCGGAATTTGTTTCGACATCCAATATACAAGTGTGAATTTTCGTTCCCGTAACTCACAAAAAAGCATCCAAACGTATGTAAACACAGTCAAGTCCAAGTGAAAATATCCACCACAGCGCAAACACATACATACGAAAGCAAAAACAACAGAAAAATAAAAAGTAGACCGACAGAAGCATATTCCGAAAAGATTTAATCTGAAAACCCATTATTTGTAAGGTAGCTAAACAATTCCTGAAAATGTGTAGTAATATCATACAAGAAAAACATGACGAACTAAAAGTAATCCTACTAAACAATGAAAATTACGTTGGCCATGTCTTCTGCAACTTAATCGTCTGATCGCGCTATCTTCAACTGACACAGTCAGTCACGTGAAATTCATTATGCCTGTTGGTATGATCCAGAAAATTTCTCTCAAACGAAAAGAAAGGATCAGGAAAACACTAAGAAGCATTTTATCCAATCAGCGTTCACTAGAAGTTTAGCCAGAAACATCAAGAAAGTGAAAAGTCACATGTAGAATTTCTGATTGTTTGATTACTATACTGCTACTATGTTTAGTAGCATTCCAGAATTTTCGGGAAACCCGAGGACTTTAAAGCAATTAGTCCCTTTTATAAATTTCGATAGAACAGTGAGAAGACGGAGTTGATCTGAAAAATGTGATGTATTTGCGCTATACATTTCGAACAATCTGGTAGGAGGAAGAAAACCAAGTTCATCGATAGCAAAACACATAATTGAGATGGGGCACAAAATTAACATTATTACAGCATTTAGAACGTTGTATGGAAATTGTCAAGGACGAATTCTTATGTTTATTGAAGCCTTGGCTATTCGTAAATTTAAGCCCCCCTTATGTGTACAAAAACAATTTGTCGTAACCTTGCATTTACATTGGTAATTCCTAAGTCATTCTATGGCCTAGGATAACGCGACAATTTCTTATTATTTCTCTCCCTTTAGTTATTTTAATTAAACTTAATTTGTTTGACCTTTAGTATTTTCATATAAAAATGCCTTGACAAGTATATGTGTGACCAGATGGTTCGAAATGTAAAGCGAAACCCAAAGACATCTAAAATATTGTATTAGAATTAACAACGGAAATCAGAACAGACTCAGCTGGGTTCAGAGATTGTGTAGAATCATCGTGTCGCATGGGTAGCGAAGCCACTAATATCTAGGAGTTGAACCATAAGCTTTCAGACTATCCTCCCATACGAAATAATGTTGGATCTTCATATTCCCAAGTTATGAATGACGTGGCTTCATTTAAAACATATTTCTCACATGGACTAGAGTAAACATTAGAAGTGACTTTGCGATAAGGATAAACAGCAGTTGACATGGAATCATCCGAATTGTAATCAAAATCTAGCTCATTTAGTACCTATGCTTCGCACTGAGCATGTTTCCCACAAGCAACAAATGCATTATGAGCAAAAATAATATTTGATATGACATCAAAATTTGATAATTTCCGAAATGATTTTCATCAAATTTATTAGGAATGTCATTGCAAAGTAAAGGATCATTAGCGAAATCAGCATCTATCAAAACACCATCGGGTTTTCGATCATGATTAGGTTCACTCAACATATTTTCCTCACATTTGCAAGGAATTTCATCAGAAATATGTGAATCATTAGTAAACAAACCATATCTGGTACAATAACATGCGAAATCTGATAAATCGATTGATTGGAAACTGTTGTCTTGCAAGGATTCTGAGTTTCATTTAACTCTGAACTATTATGCGACTCTACACTGTCTATTGCAATCGTTGATGAGGATAAATGATCATTATAAATACTCAACCTAAGAGAATCAGAATTAAAGGACGTATTATTAGTTGCAGCACGATGAACAGTGGTATTACAAACTGACTCAATATATCCTCATGAGTCATTTTATGAAATCTTCCTCCTTTACCGCATTCGAAAATTGTATACTTAACATAGTCTAGCAGCAGTTCCTTCAGGGTTGTATAAGAAGGCGAAATGGGCTTTTCTGGTAAAGCCAGAGTTTTTAATAATCCGTGTTCTTCTTTTCCGATGAATGTGAGGAAATGTGCTACAGTATTAACATCCTCATAATCTTGCTTGCTCACAGCCCAGATTTCGAACCTTTCAAAGTAATCCTCTGGAGATAAGCATGACAAATGTATTTTGTAAATAGTTTTTGATGTTATTTCATTTATTCTGTAATTTTTCACAGCCTGTACATTTATCGTCAAGTGACCACACATGTTGCTTAAGTGTATGACCTTGAACACACTTCCGTCGTCTAACACTCATAGCATGACACATGATGTTACCTACTAACAAATACACTACTAAACACATATTTTTTGTTCTTCATTGCTCATAACTGCGACAACTGAACTCTAAATCACCTACTGTCTACATTTATAGACTACAACCAAATTATCTTATATTCTACGTTTGGCTATATCACTGGAAGGACAACAATCTTACTGGAACCATCAGTCATCTATAATTGTGGATTTTGGTACAAAACCCATCCTGAACACGCACAAACCTGCTGAATTAAGTAACGTCCCTAGTTTTTATTGTGTTTATAACGTTTAACTGAAATATATTAGCATTACTGTTTGTACTCAATAACTTTGTTATTATTTTTGAGTTCTGATATTGTTTGGTCCACCACAATTATCTGGTGAGCCTCGAGTTAATTCTAATTGTTATATTGCTTATATTTTTTACTTGACACATTAGTTTGTTTTTCACATAATGTACTCAACAAACAAACTTACTGACATGGACTGTCCTTTAGTAAATCCTCTTAACTCATCACATTCTGACGATAATATTTTAAGTTCAGTTAACCGCATTTCTGAATTCAGACTACCTGCATACTGAGCAAACAACCCGAGGATTTTGTTTACCCAAATAGAAACCTTATTCATAGCTAGAGGTATACGCTCCCAGGCAACCAAGTATGCCTACGTTGTCGCTGCACTTCCCGTTGAAATCGATACCGAAGTTGGAGACTTACTCGACTAGGTACCAGAGATCGAACGTTACGACAAAATTAAAGCCGCAGCAATACAACGTACATCAGTCTCTGACAAAAAACGACTGCAGCAACCGTTAGAATCATGCGAACTAGGTGACAAGAGACCACCACAGTTGTTACGACATATGAAACAACTAGCAGGTCCGTATAAATTAGACGAAGATCCGCTTAAACAAATGTGGTTTCAACGCTTACCACATAACGTTAGGCAAATCCTAAGTGTGTCTGGAAATTCCGTCAATCCAGAAGATCTGGCAGATATGGCTGACAAAATGATGGAAATCTACCCCGATGGTCACTAAATTTACGCGATACAAACCTCCAGTAAAGAAGATACGAATAACATCCAACTTCCAACAAGAGTCAACACAGTTGACTAGACAGTTAGCACCACTGTAGGCCACTATCACAACGAACCATTCCCGACCGGCTAGATCCACGTCTGGAAGAAGATCAGTCTCCAGGCAGCGCCCTACGTCACCCGAGAGAGCAGCTGCTATTTGTTGGTATCATCACAAACATGGTGCAAAAGCATGTCGCTGTACACAGCCGTGCAACTTCACACCAAACAAACAAGAGACCCAAGGAAATTGGCCGATCAGACAGTAATGGAGGCGTCTGTTACTGGCCACCACGCTAGTCGCGTTTATTTTACGTCCGGGATCGTATTTCTGGCTCAGACGCTTTAGTTGATACAGGAGCATAAATCAGCATTGTCCCACTTCACCTCTCGCGACGACAGCACACCACAAGTACCAAATTGTCACTTGTTGCGGCTAACAACACGGTCATTAAAACTTGTGAAGAACAATCCCTTCTTTTAGACCTCGGACTCCGGGGAAGATTCACGTGCGTTTTTGTCACCCAAGTCAGGCAACCCATTCTCGGGGCCGATTTTCACAGTGCATACAGCTTATTAGTAGATATGGACAGAAAGAGGTTGACTGACAGAAATACAAGTTTTCAGGTGAATGGTACACTTACTACCGACTATGTAATCCATGGTGTATGAATAAGAAAACCTGCGAACAATCTTTTCACCGATATCTTGACGAAATACGAATGTATCACTGAAGTAGATTACCAAACGGTATGCACCGTACATTATGTGCAACACCACATTACCACTACCGGTCCACCCATTTGTGCCAAGGCGAAGAGGTCACCTCCATACAATTTACAGAATGCATAAAGAGAATTTGAACATATGATGCGACTTGGAATCATCGGACAATCTAACAGCCCATGAGCCCATGTGAAGATTACCGACGTTTAAATAACCAAACCGTTCCAGATAAATACCTGATTCCACGCATACACGATTTTTCATTGGACCTACATGGAAAGCGTTTCTTTTCGAAACTTGATCTCGTACGAGCATACCATCAAATTTCGATGGCACCAGAAGATACCAAGAAAACGGTCATTATTACAGCTCTCGGTTTGTTTGAGTTCTTAAGAATGCCATTCGGAATAAAAAATGCAGTTCAGATGTTTCAACGATTTATGGACGAGGTTGCGCCGTTTGCTTGGAACGTGTAATTTTTATCGACGATTTTTACCGAATTGCACAGACGTATTACAAACTATAACAGATTTTCTAAAAAGTGATAAAAATGTAACGAAGAAAGAAAAGAACGACATATTCAAGCTACGGTGTGATGCCAAAATAGCATTCGAGAAAGTAAAGTCAATGATTACCAGTGCCTTTATGTTACAACATCTAAATACTGACTCCACAACCCACCTGATCGTATGCACGGACGCAGTATTACAACAACGAGTAAACAACTTGACTACTCCCATGGCGTTCTTCTCCAAGCGACTGTCACCAAATCAAGAACGTTATAGAACTTTCGAACGGGAGCTGCTCGCCATTTATTTGGCAGTCAAACGCTTTAATTTTTTATTTCAGGGGCGTACATACACTATCATGACGGATCACAAACCTCTATGTTATTCATTTAACACTTCTTACAATCGACATTCATCACGAGAAACGTGACAATTCGATTACATCTCTCAATTTACAACAGATATCCAATTTATCAAAGGACATAGTAACGTCGTAGCCGATGCACTAACACGAAGGGATATAAATACGCTGGTACGTAAACAAGACATTGATCTTGAAACAATAGCAAAATTGCAAGTAGACGATGCAGACGTAAAGAGCTGCAAAGAAAAGTCTATCTTTATTCTCAAACCTGTACCCATTCCTTGCTCAAACGCATCTATCATTTGTGACGTTTCAACAGGCAGTAACCGCCCCTCCTTACCTCAAGCTTGCCGACGCCAGGTATTTGGACAAGTACACGAGCTTTCACATCCTGGAATTTGAGCTAACACAAAACTTATCGCAGAACGCTTCGTTTGGTCAACAATCAACTCAGAAGTAAAAAGGTGGACTCGGAGATGCATACAATGTCAATGCATTAAAATTCAAAAACACACGATTGGTCCTGTTGGGAAGTTAGCTTCGCCCGACAAACATTTTCAACATGTTCATTTAGACATAGTCGGTCCCCTACCACCATCAAACTCCCTCACGTACATTCCTACAGCGGTGGATAGGTTCACAAGATGGGCGATAGCATACCCTATCTCAAATACGTCTGCAGAGACAGTTGTATCTGTATTTCTTGATCGGTGGATACCAAATTACGGAGTACCTTCAATCGTCTCTACAGACCGTGGTCCTCCGTTCCGGTCTATCCTATTTCGTGAATTTACAAAACTTCTGTGTGTGAACCTTATCAAAACAATAGCCTATCATGCAGTAGCTAATGGTCTGGTCGAAAGGTTACACGGCCAATTAAAAAGCTCTCTGATGGCACAGGCTGATACGTCAAAGTGGAGTGACGCATTAGCACTCGTGCGCCTAGGAATCCGTTCAACCATGAAGGAAGATATAGGTTGTACAGCCGCTGAGCTAGTTTACTATACAACTCTTACATTACCGGGACAATTAGTAGATCCAGACACATCAGTATCAACTGATCCAAGTAGTTTTGTTAGTCGACTTCTACAAACAATGCAAAGGGTGCGGAGATATGACTGACAAGCTTATTTTGTAAATAATTTTTTAATACTATTTGTATTTATCTTGTCAACCTTTCATTGTATGTATATTTATCATTATATGTTTGTACCTGTTGTTTTAGTAAATGACCTTGAACACTTTTTCTGTTGTGATACTAACATAGCGTGACATACTGTTGCTGGCTAACAAATACACTACTACTCACACATTCCTCGTTCTATCTTCGTTCGTGATTGAATTAACTGAAGTTTAAACAAATTTCGTCTACATTTATAGACTGTAATAGGAATATATCATATCCTACGTTGGATTATATCACTGGAGAGTTCGTCGACACGTTTGCAATTATCAAGCATTTATAATTGTGGATTTACTGTACCAGACAAAAGCTGAACACGTATCATTCTGGTAAACTTAAGTAAAGTCCCATTTTTTATTGTAATTGTAACATTTAACTGGTATATATTAATATTACTACTGATCTTTATTAATTTTGTTGATACTTTTTGCGTTTATATATCGTCTGGTCCACCACAAGTGTCAAGGCCATATCGCCGCGAGAACATAATAATCGAATACAACTTGACAAAAACCTAGAAACGTGAAGTTTGTCTTTTTTTGAGTTGACGCTGTTAAAATGCCACTGAAACAACCTTACGATAGACCATAACAAGTAATTAAAAGAACAAATAAACATTTCATAATCAACAAGTGCAGAAAGAAGGAGACCATCGCTATTGCTATGATAAAGCCAGCTTTCTATGAAGCGTAACAAGACAAAGAAGATAGCACCGTAGTCAATCAACCCCTCCCACTAATCACTACTAGAACAGAGGAGGATGAAAAATCAAGCATCAAGACTACTTACTTAACATGTTCAGGCAGGACTGTAGAGAAATTCAAACGTTATTTACATTTCGCTGAATGAGAAAACTCAAAACAAACAATCGGTGGCACATATTGCACCGTTAAATTCACTCAATTTTCCAATGAAATCTACCATTTCTTTTCTTTCCACACGTGTATATAATTAATCACATTTTTCCACAATCACCTGTTTTATCATATTTTTTGTTACAACCAGTGTTACTTCCGAACACTCTGAAGGAGCTGTGTGGAGATGTAGTGGCATTGGACAATAGCCACACAATCCACAAAGCTGTGAACACGAGACTACTCGGAAAATAGATATTCAATATTTAACTTGGGGAAATACCTAGCAATGGAGAAGGCGCGGAGAATGAGTTGAATGGACTGGGGTTGATCGAGTGGCATGGCTCGGCCATGCAGGCGTGGTCCATCTCAATGTTACTTTATATCTTCTATTCATATTAAATATATTGTTCTTTCTCTAGCCTAACCTTGTTCTGCATCATGTATTGGTAATTGATACGATACAGTGAGTTGGTGTAGTCGATGGTGTGACTTCCACGTAAGATCTTATAGATTAGGCAGTTATATCATGACGAATCTACAAATTTAGGATTAGGTCTATTATTAGAGCAGTACTAATATCGTAGTAGACCATAATTCTACATTGGTGAGCCCAACTAAAGAAACGCAACCTATTATTATTATTCCTTATTTCCACTTCAACTTTCTCGATCGATTTTATATTTATGTTAACCCTGTATTCTAATAGTCCTCTGATTAATGCTCACATGCATCATTGTAATGTTATATTGATTAGTCCTCATGACAAACTAGCTCAATTGATAATAAAAACTGATCGTCTATATTAACTAATTAGCCTTGATGGTTTGTTAACAAACTGTAATAGCATTTACATGCTTCAGCGACATAGTCTTGTTTAAACATCAAGCTCTAGCAAATATGACCTGTAAATAGCGTAAATATACATTGACTAACAATGCGATCAAGGACTAAATAGTTATCTGGATCGAATTCTCAGTGTTCCTTTACTTAACTCCTCATCCTGTTTTAAACTATGCACTATCCTGTAATATCTTTTCTTCCGACCACTGCCTGCCTAATTTCATATTCTCGAGTTCCATTGCCAAACAACAAGGATGACACTTCTCCAAAAAATACGGTGAGTTCCATCTATAAGTTTTCTGCAATCATAAGTTCATTTTAGATGGCTCATTCGATGGCACACACAATTATCTGGATTCATCCAGTTGCTCCGATCAGAGCGAGTCCCAAAAACCTCACCAGCATCAAGCACCCTGGAAGTGATTGCCATACTGCCCTTTTTATTCTGGATGCTTTTGGATCATTACTACTCCTCACGAATGGCGTTATATATGTCGTCCACTGAATAATCTAATTTTCAAAAATAATCAAGGCGAGTTCAACTATTTTACTGGATGATTTTTTTGTACTTAACATGTATATGTTTTTCAGTTGCTTTTGCCATATATTTGTAAGTGTCACTAAGCTAAATGCAGTAACTTCTTATGGAAGGTTTATAACGCATCATATTCCTGCCTGAAGTCTCACAAGCAGTCTTAACTTTAAAATTATTTTCTGGTCATGTTCATTATTTTTAAATTTTTATATACGTCAACAACCTGCATGTTAACCTAGCCCGTACATACATTTTACTATATCTTCATATCTTTTGAATTTAGAAATCATCTGAATCGCCTTTAACATTTATCAATAAACCCATCATAGTCGTTGTTGCTAATCGTATTTGGGTTTATGGATTGGTGTATCATATTAGCAGCCTAAAATGCGAACATAGTTTAGATAATAAGATTAAAAATTTAGATACTATCAACTGCACTAGTAAAATAACTAGATCCCTAGGTAGCTGTTGGCTAAACAAACGTTTAAAATCAAAACTCTGTGGCCTACTAGAATTAACACTAAACGAATCTTTCTGAATTAAAATTTATAATTAAATTAGGCGTCTCGGATTCTTTAACGTTACAAATTTCTGATAATCTCGAATCACCTAAAGCAACAATACCTATTTTTCTACTGACTAATCCTCAATCAACACTATAACTAGCTAAACGTAATAGTTTCATGATATCGTCATAAAGTATTGTCATGACTTGACAATCACGTAATATGATTGATAAAATTAATGAAACTATTAACAAAATCGGTCAACAAATCGACTTACAATTATCACTAGTGTTGTTTTTCTTTTATCTTCATTCACTACAGATGATTACAGTATGTTTCTCTATCGGTTGCTTATTCAGTAAATATCTCAAAACCTTGTCAGTCTAATTGGAGGTATAGCGACACAATCATGCATGCAAATAATCAGTATAAGCAGTCGAGCAAATCTCCTGCAAACTGAAAACATCAATGTCGAATTTACCCCAACACTGACTAAGGTTCAAGCCATTATCATAGACATGAGTTGGGAGTGTACTCCCCTTGGTTACAACTTATGTACTCCCTGATAATCACATGAGCATCACTCACTGTTAATCATCTTGTAAAAGCTTATTTAGCCGAATACATCTTGCAGCACCACATCACTTCGTAATATGACACAGGCCTAACTGAT